GACAGAGAGTGTATTCATGAGAAGTTTCTTTGCTATATCTTATAACAAAAAATTACATAATCCTCTTGCATGCCTTGGATTCAGTTCCTAATATTGTTCTGACTGTGTTTGAAATGTAGCCTTGACCATAATGGTGGTCTCTGCTGCATAGGAAAAATATTAAACCCAGCCACAAAATAAAAAGAATTCTAAGACAGAAAGAAGTCCTTCCCTCTACTTCATTCTTGGTACCCCCAGGTGAATTAGTGAGGATATTGAGCCCAGTAAGATATACTTTTCCCCTGAAGTTCTCAGAAGAGAGGTTATAAACACTTTAGATCGTTCTTCAGATGAAGACAAGCATGAAGAATATTCTCAATTGCAATGTAATGAAATCATTAAGAAATAATTCCCCTCAGACTACCAGAAGGTAGACAAAAAATCCTCTGAATATGAATAGGAATTTCCAATATGGCTAGGCATATAGACACACAGATCTAAACAGATTCTGGTCGTCTTGGATATAATTCTGCCATTTTCTGAGGGTGTTTATTGGTCAGCATGATGGGACAGTGGAAGCTCATGACCTGCTGCTACAAGTCAATGGATAAAGATGCCTTTTATTCTTAAGTTTTCCTTAATGATGGCTTATCACTTCAGTTTGACCTTCAACTATGTTCAACCTACAGAGGGCAGTGACATGCAATTAATAATAGCTTTTCAGAGACTTAAATGAAAACACTCTCACATCTGTTTTTAGTTGTCTCAGTGTGTTTTTTTGACAAGAAATTAGATTTTGTTGGGGGATCTGTCAATAACATTAGACTTCCAGATTTTTCTCAGGTTGAGTTTAGGGTATTATAAAGTACAGAATTACAGAATAGGTTGTAAATATTATGTTCTGAGGAACTTTCCAGAGGTGTTGCCCAACAGTAGTGTGCACTAATAAATATTAGAACACAAGCCCTGAAAGAATAAGTCCAAAGCAGAACTACACATGATAAACTAGCAGGTGTTCTTCTATTGTAGCATATGATCCACTTGTCCTGTGAAGCTTATGGGTATAACTGTCAAATAATCCCCTTTCTCTCTTTTTGTCCAGACCAAGGTTAAATGTTCATTAAGGCTATTGAGGCTGCTGGGTCTCTCCCTTCCCACTGTTCTAGGATGGAACAAATAAGCTTATTGCCTTATTGTCATATGATGAGGAGACTAATGATAAATTGGACTAAATTTCTCTGTTTCTCTAAAATTGTTGGTGTGAGAAAAAGAGACACTGGGGTTAAGTGCAAGCAAGTGTAGCAAACAAGAAAATGTGGAGCCTAGGGTATGATGTTTACAATGCAGAGAAGGTCTAAAAGCCAGGATGTGGATGAGTGGCAGCAAGACAGATCACAGCATTTTTTTTGGTAAAGCACTATATTTAGCTAGACTCCCACAGTTTAACTGGAAAATGGGATTTCTGCCCTGACCAACAGCCAGCATGATCAACCCCCCCACACACAGGCAGCACTGATACTATATGCCAAAGCCACAGATCTTAACCATCTTTTATCAGTGTATTGGAGCATAGAGTGAGACTGGGCCTTTTGCCACCAGCCCGGATTGAAGAGCAATTTAGGTTGTCAGTCTGAGCATGTGTCAGTAGAAGAATAGTCTCACAAAAACTGAAAGAAAGGTGACACTGTGGCTTTCAGCCTCCTCTATACTGAGATACACTTCTGATTGTCATATATCTCTTTGATATATCTCTCTTTTACATTAATACATGTATATGGGAGTGAAAAAGATCAAAGGATTTCTGGATGCAATTTGCAGGTCACAGCACAGACTGATTACACACACACACACACATGCACACACCCTTCTTCAGGCCATATTTGTATTTGTTTTAGAAGCAAACACATTCCAAAGATATGAAAGAAATGCCAAAGCACCAGACAGATTAAATGGCTGGAGAATGCAGAAAACAAAACAATAATTCATGAAATGGAATCTGCAAAGCTTACAAACCATGATCCTCTCATGCCGAGTATGTATGCAGACGTGTATAGCTTACACCCCATAGCCAAGCCAACTCTATTGCTTGGGCCTGGAGAGAGGAGGAGAGTCAAGCCTCCTGCTTGTCTCTCTATTTCCCACCTCTTCCTCGGCTGTTTTATGGAGACAAGGTGCAGGGCTTGCGTTTTTGAAGCGACTTTTCACTCTGGATTAGAACAGTGTCATGCAGTTATGCAGGGCATGAGCTTGCTTTTCATTTTGTTATGTAGAGCTGTAGCTGAACAAGTGAAAAATCAGCCTTTCATGCTTTATGAAGTACTGCTGCAGTTGAGGAACTGCTACTGTTGAACCCAGACAGGAAAAGAAATTTCTCTCTTTTCTGTGTTTAACTTTGTACCCATATTCAAGAATATGTGAAATTTCTATCTTAAAAAAATTCATTCTAGCGAAAAGTTTTCTACACATATCGGTCTCTCACTGTGGGGAAAAAATAACCCTATACCTGTAACGGCATAAACACTTAACACTTTATGGTTATGACACCATATACAAATTGATTGCTAGAACAATTTTTATGTGGATATTTCTAAATAAATATGTGATCAGTGTTACCTGTTGCTCTCAGCATCCTTTACTCAAAAATCTGCGTGAGAAATGTAACATAAGTCTGAAAAGAATGCAATGTAACAAAACATAATGTGAAGTCGATCAAAGTCAGTCTAACAGCAGAAGTGAGGCTCGAATTCTGGTTAAACATTCTACAATGAATACTTCCAGGTTTTGTATAAATATTTATCTCTGTATATTGTAAGAAGTGCTACTGACTTCCATATATCCCAACTTAAACTCATGTAATTTTTTTATAGATTTGGGGCTTAATGTTGGGAGAGATACAAATTTTGAACTTTTCTCTCTCACTTAAATGTGCAGAAGTAGAGGAATTCCCTTATAATTATTGTTATCCAAATATTTTAAGTCTTCTAAATTCACCACTAATACACAGCTCTGAACTACTTTTGTAAAATTGATTATTAACTTCTTATAAACAATGTTTGGGAAATTTTCCCTTCCCAGAGAGTTCTCAAGGGCAGGCAGAAGACAGTCCAGAGACAACAAATGGATTGAATGTTCAAAAGTATTTTTGTTCTAAGTTTTGTTTTGAATTCCATGATGGAGACCTTAAAATCAAAGGTAACTTCACCATAACCATCTATTTTATTCATGTCATGGACAGATGAAAGGTGTTTCCAGACTAAAATCTACCCCAGTAATATGTAATACTCTTTTGAAGGTTATAGAGTTCTCTATGCTATGTTTCCAGATTGAAATTTACGTGAAATTTTTAGAAAGGGTGTCACATTCATTCTCGTGCCAGTTCCTCTTAATCACATTGATTAGAGGCCTGAAAGGGGCTTGGTCTACCCTATAAATGAGTGGATCTATGACATGATGGCACATAAACAGCCAGGAGTCTCATTGGGAGAAATACATTAAGCAAATCGTAACCAGTTGTCATCAACTGTGGAATTAGTGATGCAAAGTACCAACAAGGTCCAGTTATATTAGTCATTTTAATGGAGTGTGTCATTGCCTTTGAAACAATGAGACATAACTGAAGATGCAATCTCTAAACTTGCCTCTGTAGGTGCTTCTGTGCTCACTCATTGTGACTTATAAACGGCTGCTATCGCCGTTGCTCCTACACTTTTAGGTGTGTACAACAATAGAGTTGCTCAGCTGAATACTTATGTCTTTTCATGCAGTTATGTAAACCCTTCCCCGTGTTTTCTTTCTTATTTAACAACTTAAAGTTGCCGTTGTTTTCAACTAACTCCTTTACAGTTAATGATGGTTTTCCAGAACACCGTCATCAAGCCACACTTCAGGTCTGAAGACCTCCTTCTAAAAAAATATCAACAATTCTGTAAATTCCTTGATTCAGAAACAACTAACATAATATTTTATGCACGCTTATCTGCCCTTTCCTATTCAGAATACATATCTAAAGCACCAAGCTTTATTTTGTCATCATAAATATGCATAACAATCTTATTAACATAAATTTGATCTAACAGGTTCACCATGTATAAAGAAATGTAATTAATTTACTTCCCTGCCTATTTTTACAGTTGTCTCTTTTTTCCTTAGTTGTTGCTTGTTCATGTACTATTTACTTAGAACCTTCATTGTGCATTACATTTAGCTGCTACATTGCACAGTATTTTTATTAACCCTATCTGGAGTACTAATCGGTTTTGATAAGAAAAAGCTAGTAAAAAAATTCTCATTTAAAATCTGAAAGGTTAGTCACACAGTCATAAAGAAAAATAAAAACAGATATAAAACCTCTGCAAATATTTACTTTCTGTGCCAACATATATGTCATCTGTTCACAGCAAATGAAACAGGTGCATCTATGTTCTAATACTACTAATAAAAAATGAAGCATGTATTTTGTTGCTAACTTGACAGTTAGTTGGTATGATTGAATATTTAAAGAAAAGCTTTAAAATAGATTAACATAACTGAAAGTCAGAGTGCTGTTATCTGCCTTCAAAGAAATTGTACTAAACGTGATTATCTCATATTTGTTAGTTTTTTCTTCCTTGTACTACTATTTTCACAACTTTTTTAAAGATTTTACGCTTCTGATATTCTATTTTTATATGGTAGACTAACCTTTCATCTGGTAATATATTCTAAAGCAAATCTCAGTATTACATAAAGTTAAATACAACTCTACTAAAATGGCCTCATTTGGAGTTTAATTGTACACATAGTAATTTCTGTACCAAGACTCCATGTACTATTGATGCTTATGTGATTTGTATGGTAACCATCTCATTTCACTACATTTCCTATTGTCCTAGTGATGCTTATGTTTACCATTTCTTGACAAAACTGAAGAGGTGTCTTCCAGGCTTCTCCTTTTCTCCACAACCCATCCCACCCCCCCAAATAGGTATTTGATAATTCATACTTACATTTATCTTACTATATATATTTTATTCAAACTTCAGACTGATGATGAAATTGTGAAAATATGGAGTGAATCAGGAAATCATGGTGATGAGTGGAACAAAGTTGAGTTACACTTGGGAAAACTGAGGAATTTTGAAGTTATCTTTGAAGGTATTCGTACCAGAGACCTAGGAGGAGGAGCAGCAATAGATGACGTAGAATTCAACAACTGCACCACAAGTAAGTTCAAGAGGGAAGTTTCTAGATGGATGTTAAAGGAGATGTAGGATGTTCTTGTTTGTTTTTAAATACATTATAGTTTTACTGCTTTTATCATGTTACTGTTCATAGAATTAGTTATGAGTACGATGTTTTCATTCTTATAACTTCAATACTATTTTCTACTCATATAGAAAATTTTTGTTAGTGCAATATTGTAACACTAAGTAATTGCAGATAAATCCAAGAAATGACTAAGATTTTGTTTCCTTAATTTATTTGGTTTTGAGTAAGATTTTCTTTCTTTAATTCATTGGTAAGTTTTTGAGTCTCTCACATTGTATATAATTATTTTATATAAATTTTGTCAGATTATATCAAGTGAAGCCTGTGGTCTCTGTTTTGCTATAAAGGCTCTTGCCATTAAAATGAGTTGAGACCACAAATGAACCACCATCACTATTCCTTTTCACAGTTCAGTTCAAGTGTTAAGGTCAGCAAAGTAAAGCAAAGTTTTGACTTTTTCACAGGGTATTTGCTCTATAAGGGTTTGCCTTAAAAAAAAAAAGGTAAAAACTGGGTGGATCATGGTTTCTGTCAAGGAAGGATTTGGTCTTTAGTTTTGGAAGACTTAGAAGTTTTGGAGAAGTTATTTAGCCGAGCTTTAATCTGCCATGGTCTGGATGCCCATTATCAGTTGAGGCATGGAAAATGCTCTTCTGGAGAGCATCTTTGATTTAGTTTCATCTAAAAAATGCAAGTTTTGCATTCAGAAATTGCTCTGTAGTGTAAATCAGAGATTAGAAACAGGATACAACTCAGGCCTTAATTGAGAAATGAACTTTAATAAAGCTCTAAGGCAGACATACCCTTAAAAGCTCTTCAGGCATATGAACACTAGTGATTCCTTTGTGCTTTTTCTTAGTGTTTCATTGTCCTCATTAATATGCATTTGATTGTTCTCCAGAGGACAAAGGTAGAAGGTTAAGGATGTCCTGGTAGGAGACTTGGAGGTCAACATTCCCCTCTCCTCTCGAATAAGAATGAGGATGATTATTGCTCTTACAATTTGTTCTAACATGTATTAATTCATACCATAGGGTCTACTTAAAACAAATTTCTTGGATTCTGTCCCATTTTGGGACTAGAACAATTTAGAGACTTCATTTCATGGTTAGATTCATGAAGATATTCAGCAAACAAATAGCATGATTTTCTTTTAGGAAGAAGAAAACTCCCTGGAAAGTTCATAAAAATGGTATCAGCATATCTTCATATAACATAAAATATTTCTGCTTACTCTTAAGTCCACATATTTTATGATAACCTGAAAGTAGACATTATATAAACATAACTGGAAATACTACAGAGAGGTCATTGCAAGGAAAGAAATTGTTTCAATAGGGAGTTTGAAAGCTGTCATATGAAGGATCTTAAATCTCTTAAAATGTTAAGATTGCTGAAATTTACATTGGTTTTAGTCTATGACCCTACAAATCTGAATGTTAATGGTGTTTTATAACCAGTCTTGCATTAAAATACTTTTGCAGTTAAACAGTTCAGAAATTATCTTGGGTCTATTAGCAACTATTTGTTTTACAGCATTGCTTCAGCAAGAAGCTCTGTTGGGATAGTAGTTGCACTGTGTGCTCCAACTACTTTCCACATACTTACAGCTTCAGCATAGTAATGTTCCTGTGTATTTTGCAGAAAATTACTGTTTATGAAGATGGATGATTCAGAAGAGACTTTTGTCACAGAAGTTTGAAACATACAGTTAAAGCTCAATATACAACACAAAACCAGTATTTTTAAAGATTGAAGTAGGAAAGTTGGAATGTGAAGATGCTAAACCTTTATAAAGCTGTCACTTGCATGGTGGATATTTTTGCACTGTAAAAAGGCACAAACTTTATATAATTAGGAAACGTTGGCTTACATCATCTACAGTAGTGTATGCTAGGCACAGCAGGGTTTTCATTAAAGTTCAGGTGCATGTACGTGATGGGGATGGGTTTATGCTTATCTCTTTGCACTATGATCAGAGCCATTCCATATATTTGCTTTTTACCTGTATGTATGTGTACGTGTGCAAGTGCATGTCTAAAAAACACAACAAAAACCAATCTGTTGTTTGCTGCCCAACACCCCCAACCAAAGTCAAGAGGGAATCATTGCATTGTCTTTAGCACCTTTCTCTTCATCTCTGTATAGGATTTTTTTGCCTTCTCCACAAGTTGAGATCTACTTACTTAATTTTCTTGAGACTTGTGGTTGGCTGACCTTCCTGTTGACATCATGACATGAAGGAGCCTGGTCTGACCTTTTTCAGTCTCATTGTTATTGATTCTTTACCTTTGTAGAACAAACAAACAGAACACGTTTTTTGCCAGATTCTCCAAAATAACATTTCCCATCTGACACAAGCCTGGGGCACTCAAGATAGAGAAAGCATGTCATGTCAAAATTGTTTTTTTGCAGTGCAATGTTCACAGTTTTATTAGACAGCAAACACAATCTTACTGTGGCCAAACTCAAGGAGAAGGGTAGCATACAAGCTAGAAGGGGTCAGGGGTCTCATCTCAAAAAAGTAATTTGATTTACTACACTTATTTATGTATTGTGTTTGTAGCTGCAGAATTGTTCAGCTGGACACAAGGCCAGGGTTCTCTAGGGGTACTGTGGGCCACATCTGTATTTTCCACTTAGACTTACTAGGTTGAACTAAAATCTTCTGGGCTAGCTATGGTAATTACGTAAGCAGAGGAATAGACCATGAACAGAAAAATCTAGAAGATAATTGAAAATAATTAAAACTTGAAGAACAGGTTTCAAATAAACAGAAAAGAATGGAAATGAGAAAGCCTTAAGCACATAGGAAAAATATTGAATGTTTAGCTGCTTCCCAGGTGACAGCATGTAGTTGTGGGGAAGAATTTTAGAGCAATTCTAGAACTTTTAGATATTTTGGGATAGCCTCTTCCTCACAGACTATCCCCTTGGAAGCTGATGAATGGTATTCCTGGATCATGGTTTACAGTCTACACAATACAATAATTGCCTCTGCAGAAATGATGTACTCAAGTGGAAAGAGAAAGTGAAGACAGAAGAGGGAAGAAGTCTGTGTAGGGATTTTTGACGTGAATATTAGAACTGCTTTTATTCAGTATGATAACATTAAATGGTTATAGCAGAGTTTAATAAATCCAAAGACTTATTTTATTGTACATATGTTTCCTTCCAGCTTGGTTTGTATAGCGCATTATAGAAAAAGCCGTACACATCATAATGGAATCTGCATGGGGATAGATTAGCTCTGCAGACTTTGCTCTTCAATTGCATAGCTGTAATTTAGATAGCTCATGTTATATAAGCATTTTCAACTGACAAAGAAGAATTTCTCACTATTTCCTTTTAAAAATTAATTAATGAAAAGCTTCTATATCAGTAGAATACTACAAACAACTTTATTTTATTACGATCTGAGCTTCTGGGATCCTATTCTGCAAGGCTCAATTCCCTCAGATCTCACTAATTTCTACAGACGTGAAGGACAAGAAGTAACTGTGGCTTTATTGGAAGTGTGGGAGGTCTAGGAAATATTGTCACTGATAGAAAAATAGAGGGTATAAAACACTCTTATCTGTTGGTTTTGAGAGGGTAAGTTATGTTTTGATAACAAAAAAAATTTAACTTTCAAATCTGACATATTTTTATTATCCAGGTTTAACAGGAAAATTTGAAATGAGTTACATCCCAGTCAGAGGAAGACAGATTTTAATATTAAATTAATTAATTTATTAATGGAAAATAATTAAGATATTTCAATGTATTAATTAATTAATTTTTCTTTTTTTTTTTTTCCCCACCATTTTGTACAATAAAGCTTCATACAATTTTAGTGGCAGACTGTCCTCTGTGATTGGAATGGAGTTTAGAGTGGTCATCTCTTGTGCTTTTTAATAACTGACTTTAAGCATGTCTTAGGTTATTTGCAAGCTAGAAAAAAATAAATATCTGCAATTATCCCTCAGTAGAAAGGTAAAATACCTAGTAGTATTCTACAGAATAACCCCCAATGATAATCTATTTTTGACACTTCTGACACCTTTCCCATGATAGCATCTTCTAAAAACTGTTAGGAATAAGCTGTGGTCTGGTAACATTAAAGAACACTTCAAGCGTTATTGATTTGTTTTTCCAGCTGATGGCTCATTGTCATATAATAGTGAATCAAGAGTGCAACCTGTCAGACATGCTGTTGCCAGTAGCCTGAATTTTGTACATCTGTAATTTGAAAGAAAAGGAATCTTGTACTCCAGATAGAAAACACAGAGTATAAGCATGGACATAAACGTTACTCAGCCATATAATACATAATGATTTTGGCATCCCAGGGCACCACCTGAAAAACCAAGTAAAGGAGAAATGAAAATAAGGGAAACATAACTCTAAATTCAAATTTGACAGAAATTTTTAAAATAGTTGATTAGTTAGTCGCTTTATATATTTTTCATGGTCTGGCAATTCAGTGTGATAAAAGTCCATGGAGAAGACTCATTGAAACTCCAGTGACCTTTGTGGGTTAGCTGTTGGGGATCAGGATTGTATTCACGAGGTTTTCTTCTCATGTTTAAGGTAAATAAGATACCACTTCATGTATGACTGAATGTGTATCTACAATAGATTCAATTCTTTAAAACAAAACAAAATTAAAATGCTGCACTAATCTTATTCATAGCCAGTTGATTTACCACATTGAGCTGAACAAAAATGTTCTTTAAAATAAAATAAATATTGCTTTGCCTGGTGGTAAATTTTTCTATCTCTTTCTTCTCATATAGCTGTATTCCTCCTCACCTACTCTTTATGGCAAAGACCATAGGTGAAGGTACTGCAAGCCTTTGAGTAACTTTGCTTCCATATTCCTATAAACAAGAAGCTTTGAAAGGCTCGACAGAGAAGTTCTTTCTCATTAGAATTCCATCCTAGCTCTGCAGATCAGAGAGAAAATAACTAAAACATCCTAGTGTTTGAGTGCGTAGGCCAATTTTTTTTTAAATGACTGTTTTCTTTGAATCTTCAGCTCTGTATCATGAAAAGCTTTACATTTAGTCTAGAATTTAGTTCCTTCTGCTAAGACACTAGAAAAAAGTTCAAACTCTTATAACAGAAGTATTCGGTACAATCCTGGCCCTGAAGTGAGAGGGAAGGGAATTCAGTCAAAGAAAGCGGCCAGAGCTGATTTAGTCACTCAAGATATACATTTGTATTCAGTCAGAATATATGCCCAGATAACTGGGGGTTTTTTTATATTTTTCTTTCCCCTCTCTCCCCCAACTCTTTTAAAAATATTTTAATGTTTTATGATTGTTTTTACCTTTCTTTATAAGTAGATCACTGCAAGGGCATTCTGACATGGGACACTAGAGTTGCATCATCTAGCTAAAACTGCTCAGTAAATGTGCTGAAATTAATGGTAAAAATCTTATTTGTTAGTCTAATGTTTGGATTTTGTCTTTAGATGGAAATTATTCTTTTATTTCATGGTAAACTGACAATTTACATATCACTGTTATCCATTGACTAGTCCATTGTAGAGGAAGAAATCTCAGTTTGAGAAGTCCAGTACTTTTCGGTAGATATAACTTAATTTGTATTATTCTAACATACAATAACATGAATGTGCTTTAACCCTTCTGAGTGTAAACCTTACCAACCTCGCATCTCATTGCACTTAGCAGAGGGTATAGACAACACACAGTTTTGTTCTAGGCAAGAAATAATCTCGCTTTTAGAAATGAGAAAGCCACAACTGCCTTCCACAGGCCACCCAAAATGCCCTCGTACAAACAAATCCACAGTGAAGGTAGTGGGCTCAAGGAGCGATGCGGAGAAAATACAAGCTTCCTCCACCCAACTTGCCAGAGCTGATGCAGTTAAACTGGGGAAAGACTTGAATTCCTGCACAATTCATGTTATGCCCAAGGCGAGTCATATTGCAACTTTCTACTAGAAATGTACGAAAAAATATAAGTTCATTTTTTCTGCAGAAGCAAATATTATATATTCTGGCTTCATGGAATGAATAATATTGCATTTGACAGCCATCTTTGAAAAGATTAAAAGAAAGGAGAGAAATATGGCATCAGCTTGAAACATAACAATATTGTCTATTTTTTCTTGCACCGTACAGCAGTCATTAACACACCTGGGATACTCCAGGACTGTTTGAGATTATGTACAAAATGCACGAGAGCTTAACCAAAAGTTTTTTGGCCATCTTTGCTTGATTTTGAATTCATTAGGAAGACACTTGACATCATTTGCCACAGATTTCGAATGAGAAATATATTTTCGCTTTAACCTCAATTTTCATGAAAATAAGTTAATGTTTTTTTCAGTTTCTGTTTATCTCATCTGAATCTTTGGCATCCATGGCAAAGGTGGTGTTTGTGGATTCCCTGACACTTAGTAGAATCAGTTCAAATTGACAATGTAAAATTAAAAAACAAAACAAGAAGACAAATAAATTTGAAACCAGATTTCATTTATACCAATGCTCATGGATATATGTATTTCAAAACTGAAAATTTAAGTCTGGTCTTGCAGGTAACCAACTTTATCATTGATTTATTTATTTTTTTAAATTATCAATTCTAAATATTTGAATTATGTTTTAATGCTATGTTTTTGCTCTATTTTATACTACCTTTTGTCCTTGTTTAAACCAAACCAAAAATTTAGTTCTCCTTTCCTATTTTGGTTCAATGAGAATGTAGTTCCTCAGTCTGTAAAATTCAGTAAGTGCCTCTATGTGAGGAGATTAGTACCCTGATAACAGTAACTTTCCTTTCTCGAAATATGGACTTGCACAAAGGTAAATATCAAGGTGTTTCTGTCCAGACTGTGTTTAATGATGTGTCACATTTTATTCAATTTTGAAGGAAAAAGGAAACATATTACAATGAATAGTATATAAATGTCTTATTGCACAACTTGGAGCTTTAGACTGAAAAACAATTTCAGATTAATAAGAATGCATCTTAAATGTTGCATTTGGGATTATCAGAACTTTTTCAGTTAGTGCTAATTGAAATTATACATCCAGTGCACTGTATTGAAAGACAATCTATGTAAATTTTTTTATAGTCTGACAGTTCAGAGATGGCTGGATGTCAGCACTCTTTGGCTTTAGCCCTAGTGCTTTATGAGCAAGTTATTAAGTTACTCTCATTTTATGACATGATTTTCACTCACTTTCAAAGATAACCAAAAAATGTTGTTGTAACACAGCTCCTCATGTTAAATACTATAAGGGAAATTTCTAAGTAGTACACACACTCAGAGCAAAAATTTCTCTAAACTCTTCAAAAATGTAAACATCTTGTAAAGCCTTTAAAAGTTTATGCATTGCACAAATGTATAACAGTGATATTCTTCAGCTTAAAATGTTCCTGTTTTCTAAAGGGTGTCCTGTAATTATGAGCAGAATTAAGCTTCTAGCCAGTCTAGTTTAAAGCAGCTCACAGATCCTTTTTTTATGGAATGTGGACAATACACTGGGAAAACAGTTGTGCTGATGCTGAACTGAATTTTCTTCCAGGAAAAACATCATACCCCAGAATCTTTGGGCAAGGCCAATACAGTAGTCTAGACAAGCATATGCATCATTAAGAGTGGGACCAAATAACATCTGTTGGAAGCAGTAAATCACTGGAGTCATGCTGTATAATGACTAAACAAATAAAAAAGAGCATCCTTTGATTTAATTACAATATTGATTTAAATGTCCTGTTGGTTTCAGTTGGAGAGAATCCCAGGGAATGCCCTGCCCTCACTGATTTTGTGTGTGGGAATGAGAATTGCATAGAGTCTCAGTTCATCTGCGACTATAAACCAGACTGTGAAGACTTATCTGATGAAGCTGACTGCAGTAAGTATCTCTTTCTGTATTTCTGAAGATTCTGTAATCTTCAGTTAAAATTATAACTTTAAATTCTGTAGCATAGCTTAGGTGAATTCACACAGCTGCTCAGAAGATAATTACAAGCAGGTTCCCTGCTCCTGCAGCACAGAAAGTCTGACATTTTCAGATCTTCAGAGATATTTGCTATAAAAATATTTAAGTGTGATTTACTTGCAACAGTGTAACTTACTTAAACCAAAGGCTAAAAACAAAAACAACCCACCACTCAAAACACAAACCAAAAAACCCCACCAACTTAAGGACTAACAACATATGAAAGGAATAAAATCTATGGTTTGCAATACAAATTAACTCTGAAATAAATGTAAAGTCATTTATAAACTTAAAAGAATGTTGAATATTGAATGAAAAAGCTAAGTAAGCAAAATAATGCACAGTAACATTTAGACATGACTCTGCTATAAAAAGTGAGTATTTCAAAACAGGCCTGTCTTTCCTTTCAAATTAATCCCATCTTTGTGATCTGAGTTGTCACTACTACTACTGCTTTGACAGTTGGACTTGATGATCTTAAAGGTCTTTTCCAACCTAAGAGATTTTATGATCATATGGTTCTATACTACGTGTTCATTGTTCTTTGTTTTTGCTGCTGCTGCAGAGATATGAAAATATCTTATTGCTCTTACTCTGTTACAGAATAGTTGGACAAAATCAAGTCTGTTTGTATTTTTGTAGTCCTAGTGAATATTGAGATAAAATCTGTGTGTAGGTATAGCAGACCATATATACAGTTCAGTAATCAGTCTAATTTTTAATCTTTGATCTAGAGAGCCAAATTCTGCCAAAATGTAGATATGATCAAAAGTAACCTTGGTAGGTAGAGAAGGTAAATGTATCATATGCATTAACTCAATACTCAAATTGTGTTGAATTACAAATACTCCACTGAAAACAAGAAATACTTTGTGATCCCACAGAAATCAAAAGCCTTTTGTCTTTCATGGGGTTGCTAAATGCTTTGGCTGGACAGGGTTACAAAAATAATGACCCTTTATTGTGTGGTGTAAATTATATCTTTTAGCCAGGCAGCAGACTTACAACCTGGAATACACTGATGGAGATTTAATTTGGATTTTCTCCCTCTTTAAGGTTTTCATAAAAGTAAATAACAATTAAGAAGTACAAACACTGAAGCTGGTGTCTCTATTTCTAGTTTCTATATGCGGTGCTTTGTGTTCCAATGAATGTTATGAGTTGTATTCATGGAAATGTATCTATGTTGAACGATATATTTAAGAGTCTATCTTTCTTTTTTTCAAGTAGATTCCAAAAAAGATAAATTTTAAACAGATAATCTGTATTGCTTGTATATAATATTCATATTTTTTTTTCAGGAGTTAGACAAAGTAAGCAGCAAAATACCCTATAAACTCACAGTTTTAACATTTTACAGCTCTAACAAAAACAGTAAGTTTGAATTGCTGCCCAACGTAAACTGTTCTGCAAAGATATTCAGAAAACTATCAAAGCACTTTATTTATTCTGTAAATATTGTACACAGGATATTGTAGCTTCATTGGGTAAGGGGAGGTGTCCTTTACTGTCAGGAAAGAATGTAACAGCATCAACTCCCTTTTCTTAGATAATAGATGGAAATATTCTGGGCAATAAATTATCTTAAATTACAACAGAGTGACACACTTTTTTTTCCTCCCTTAGAAAAGCTTCTCTGCAGTATAGCAAAATGTTATTCAATATAAATAAATAGAGTGAAATATCCTTTTATTGTAGATGGAAAAGCTGTAGTTACGTCAAACTATTTTCAACAGTCTCTAGTTTTGCTGGTGTTAAAGAATTGACAACATATCAGGTTTACAATAGAGGAGAGATACTGTAATCTGGTATACAGAATACCCAGATAAGCCTCAGGTATAATATTTCCCTATCTGCTATATCTTAGTTCCAATAAATGAGGCCTTACATTTGGATAAACACACCTTTTCCTTAAGTCTATATCTTACAGATGGGAATAAACAACATTAATGAACACGTAATACCTTTTAAATAGGGAAACCTCTTTTTTTAATAAAAAGACATCAGGATCTGCTTAATCAGAAAAGAGAGCAGAATGGGCTCAGAGAAAGCCTTTCACAGTCTAACCTGCCCCATCACAAGTGGTTATGACCACATTTGTCTGCAATTTTCTCCTTTTCTCTGAGCTCAAGGTCCAACCTTATTTCACATTCTGCTACAGGTTTAAGCCAGTGCAACTCCGAAGAAGTAAATGAACCATTATCTACTCAGCAGCAATTCCTCTGTGCAGGATTTACAACACGATCTGGATGAAATGAATTGTATCCACGTAGGCTGGTGGACTTTGTCTTTAAATAAACTCACAGAAATTACTTACTCTATGCTTCATTCAATCCAGTTAGGCAGTCTTGCAAAATTTTTATTCTCTTTCAGTAACGCACTGGAATTACTGAGCTGAAAAAAGCACACATGAAAGCAGTTTCAGTTTTCATGAATTTCAGCCAATTATAGACACATTTGATTAATAGCAAAACTCAGTGTTGATGAACCAGCTAGAGGAGTGCTTGATTTATTGAAATAAAAACAATTTTACAGATAAATGGAACAATCCTCTTATGATGTTTCCTAAATTGGCTCTGTTTACCCATAAAATAAAAAATACCCAGCATGTGCAAGTATGTTGTGTGACTCTGTCAACCCTGTAAATATTGTTCATAAATATTTTTTCATTATCGTCTTCTGAGTGCACTGTAAAGATTTTAGGGCAAAATTCCTGAAGTCAGATAATCTATTATGACTAGTATAAATTTCAAACGTATTTGGACTTTGAACTTGTTAGAACTGGACAAGAAAATTGTACTTGCTGTTTCAGTTAATGCATTCCCTTCTTTGCTCTACCTACTCGTAAGAGTGTTTGGTGTTGGAGTCAGGCTTTATTAGGCTTACATGATGCTCGTAATGTAGCATCTCTGTGTATCTATGTATTCCTGCCATGATTCCCAGAGGCCATGCTGTGAACATCATCAGCAGAAGCACAGAACAGTTGAGATGGGAAGGCACCTTTGGAGACTGCCTAGTCCAACCTCCTGCTTGGTACAGGGTCTACTGCAATAAGTTGTCCGGGGCTGTGCTAGTCAGATTCTGAATATCATCAAGAATGGAAGCTCCACAACTTCTCTGGGCAAGCTGTGCCAGTGCTTGACTAGCCTGACAGTTTCTTAACCATAAAATTTGCTTCCTGTATTTGTGCCCAATGCCCCTTGTCCTGACACTGGGCACCACTGAGGAGAGTCTGGCTTTGTCTTCTTTACACCTACCCTGCAAGTATTTATATACCTAGATAAAATCCTCCTGAGCCCTCTCTTCTATATGCTGAGCAGTCCCAGCTTTCTCAGCCTCTCCTCATGACAAGCACTTCAGTCCCTTGCAGTACAGTAAATTATAGAACAGTACAGATCCTTCTCCTTGCATATAGTGGGATATAGTTTATACACTGGAGCAAAATTATTCGTTAAGCTATTTGTTCTATACATTAACAGAAAATCAAGTCCACAGCTTTACAGTCAGTGTGTGTGCAGATCCTGGCCATACAAAACAAGTTTATGATAAGTTATTTTTACAAAGAATGGCATCATTTGTTCTTGCAGTATCAGAGAAGAAAATAGAAAAAAAATCAAGTGCGATTCCTAAAAGGTAATAAAAAGTATTATTTTTATCTGTAACTTATACCTAGACAATGCTACATAAATAAATGTAAACACACTCTAAATCTTCAAAACCATTTGAGGTTCTGAAATAGTCACAATCAGACCTGTCTCTAAAATGTGCAACTGACTGTGATGTTTAATGGTTTGGAAGCTTTTCCTAGAATCCTCTCATAGGTGTAGTCCTCCCTCTTGCTCAACTGTCGTGTAGCTGCTTCTGCTTTATAGCTAAGGAAAAGACCTTTGAAAGCCAAAGTTATTGGTGTCTTTTGATTTGCCTCTACCACAGCATTTGTATAATTTTGTTGATTAATTACTTTTCTAAAGTCATCTGAAACATCAGAGGCAGATCTAGAAAAGTGAAGTTTAACAAAGTTCTCCTGAATTCAGTCAGTGTCCTACTCACTAGAACTTCTCTCTCATCATAAAACTGCCTTTATGTGTAACACTCACAAGAATATATTCAACATATATTCATGAAAAACACCGCTGGGGAAGTGGAGTCCAGTTTTGCTGGCTAATTGACTGGGAATCATTTTGTCCACTCACCTTGAATAATAACTAAAATTGGTGAAGTCATTGGTTTGTCCTCAAGACCTTCGAAGGCATATATATCTAATAATGTTTAAGGATGTTTATACCTGCCCAGGACATGAAGTGTGAATTTTTTCTTACCAATTACCCGATAGTATTTGTGGCAGTATATGTAACACAAGGAGTCATAACATAAACCAAACATAATCCTTTCCATTACCATGTACAGTATGTTCATTACAGCCTTTTATATATGAGAGCTGGGATGATAATTTCCTTCTTGCTATATTTTCAGGTTACTACACAAGTATTCCTGGAAGCTGTAACTTTGAAACACAAGATCAACAATGGACCACTGTATGTGGATTAACACAAGACCCTACTGATGACTTTGACTGGAATATTAGCAACAGTGCTGTCACTGGGCAAATGGGTCCTGATGCTGACCATACACCAGGTATTGACATGTGTCTTAGATAATTTTTGGGAAAATTAAATATTCACTAAATTAAAAACAAATCCTCTAGATTACTTCCAAGATAAGAGCAAATTTCAGTGTTATGAGCTGAGCTTACTGTATAGGCAGACAAATCATAATAAGCAATTAGTACAGTTCACAAAGCAGTTCCAACAACAAATTAATATGTTCCTTTTATATTAAAAATATATTTTATATTCCCAATCAATAGCTCTGCATTTTTCTCACCTTTCACTAGTATTTTGTTCACTCCTTATAGAAGTGACTGATTTCAAATGAAATCTCTATATGAAACCTCATGTGCCAAATTCCAATACTCACGATTTCTATTAATGTAACTGCAGGATGAACAACATATTTCTTCAGTTAGTCTGTTAGTCTGACTTTAAAAGTTGAATTCTCTGAATGCATAACTGGCTACAATAATACTACTTTCCTTGTCAACTTTTTGGATAATCTACTTTTCCTGGAGTGTGGTACGATTCTAATGAATTTTAGAAACAATGGCAATCATACACTGTTGCTTAAAGAATGGCTGAGGAGCAGTGTGTGTGGATGCACATGATTAAGGTTCCTACCTAAGATCTTAGTTTAATTTATCTCCCTGAAATTGGCTTGCCAGAAATATTGATATAGAAGTGTTTCCCTAGAGGCCCCTACAAGATGTTGCTGACAGACTACTACCAGAATGCCTAGTGATTGTTAGGAGAATGAAATTTATTGATAGACAGTTATGGTTATCTTTGTTATGTAGACAGCAAACTGTAATTATATATTATATAAACAGAAAATCATATAATATATATTGTATTTAATATAATAAATCTAGCTGGCATATTAATTCCCATCATAAATGCCAATCTCTACTTGAGAAGTGTATAACTTTCCTTTCCAGAAGCTTTAGAGCTTTAAAGTTAGAAAACTCATTCTAATGTCCATCTAATCAGCAAAGAATAATTAATATTTACTGTAGAAGTATCATAATCTCTACTGTTTTTCACCTGAATTTGTAAGCAGCATGATCTTCAGGTTTGGGCTCTTTTTTGGTGTTTTACATTTTCAAGATCAGCAGAGACATCATGTTAGCATGTGCCTGTAACCATTTCTGACCTACTCATTTATCTTCCCTCCGCCCTTAGAGAATTTCTGCACCTGCTTCAGAAACTGCACACCTGATCACAAGGGAACTGCTTATCTGCCACAAATCACAGTTTTTCATTATACAGGAAGCAGAAATCTATACTAGTTTGTGTTGCTTTTTCAAGGTGTAAATGTGAAGTTAATTCCTCTTGGAATGGAACAGAACAGACAAGTAAAGGTAGAAACCATTGCAGCTGTCCCACGCAAACTGTTCCTTGTAAATCAGTAGCCTGGCTTGCATTCTTGCTGTTCCTTTGATACAGTGTGATGACAAAACAACCTTTGTACCCTCAAGGAGATTTTGTGTGCTTTTCTGTCTGAGTTCCTCTGATCTAATTGGTTCTTCTTTGCCTCTGTGAAATTACCCAGCAATTTTAAGAAAAACAATAACAAGCAAAGTAAAAGGAAAATAAAATTAGAGCAAATGTGTGTGCTAAACTACCAAGATTTTGAATTTCCTTGTCAATTAACCGGTCTATTCCCATTAGCTGTAAAGAATAGGAATCGTTTGTCAGAATTGCCAACAGCCCAGATACTGATGACCTGTAATGTCGAAAAGTATCTGTCACCCCATTCCTGACCCAAATCAAATTCCTTCTTGTTAGTGGTTTAGTCCCTTCCTGCAACTAAGTATCAAACAGCTGCTTGTTCCCACCCCCCTCCTCCAGTGGAGGAGGAGAATCAGAGGAAAAGTTAAGGAAACTCATGGGCTGAGATTTAATATCTAACAATTTAATAACTGAATATAAATCAATAAAATAATGATGCTAATAATACTAAAAATACTGTCTACTGTTAGCAATAATGCTAACAGTACTAATAATACTGTTCAGCAGCTGAGATATAAGAAATGTGGATATCATGGCTCACTAACAACACTCAGGGCTTTGACGTGTTCCCTAGTGCCATGCTACATAACAGGGAATTTCCTGGGTAAGAGCTCTCAGCAAAGGTGCCCTTGACTCCTTCAATGTCAACCTGCAAATTGATCCTTGGAATCTGTGAATGTTTGTGTTTGCAACATGTTTTAAATTTGTTATTCAAATAAGAATCAAGTGTTTACACAAGGATACAAAAGGCAGAGTGAGCTCTGAGGAAGGTTGTGTTAATATTGTATGTAAAAACCATGAATACACAAAGTATTAAGAAGGAAGATCACTGTACAACGAAGCTAGGGCATACGTGTATCTTGTAAAAGACACCAGTATCTGTGCATGTACAAATGCTTATTCTGTGAAGCATCTAGTGTAGAGAAACTATAAATGTTTTTTATCTTTTTATTAAGGTAAAGGACAGCATTTTTTGTATGTGAATTCATCTGCCCAGAAGGAAGGAAATAGAGCAAGGATATTTACAACCAAACTCTTCCCAGCTAGCCTCGGAGTCTGTAGGGTGCGGTTCTGGTTCTGGATGTTTCCTTCCAGGCAAACAGGACTCTTAAAGGTAAGAAAAAAAGCACTTCTGCTACATCATGACATAGTAATATTTGATTTAGTAGTTATTAGTAATAGTAATACTGATAATTACTGCATAGTGATTTTTGCTTTCTGTGTCTAGAATAAGCAAAATCTCAGAGTTTATATTAGCAGTACTTCATCACAACTTCCCTGCAGTTATACCTATATGCATAATACCTAATATTTTGCGGTCAAGAACAAATGACAGTTCTGTTTTAGGTTTAATTCCACTCGAAGTACTTTTGCTACACATGTAAAAATTAACTTTGGGTGTTTGACTACCATACATAAACCTACTGAACATCAGCACAGCTATTCTTTGCACAATTCAGTCTTTTAGAGGCTCTTCCCAGTGTTTAGCACAAAAACAAGACATGGTTTTTAAAAGAAAAGTTTAAAATATAGTAATATTGCCATGCATGGAGATGTTTTGATTAAAATAACTGGAAATAAAGCATTTAACCATGTTAACAGTTATAGCTCAAGCTTTCCTGAAAATGTCATTTTGCTGTTCCCCAAGCATCCTTAATGGGCATACATTTAGTCGTTTAAGTACCTTAGTACAAGACCAAGCAGTGACGTGAACGGTTGGCAAGCAACTAATTTCATGTGGGTCACTGAATAAATATGCTCCATGCTAGTTTTTTTAGTGGTCTGAGCAATACTCCTATCTGTGGCAGTTTGTTAAATTTTGAAAATACAGGTTATGTCAGTTTTATTACATGTGACAGAATATAAAAATTTGCATACACTATTAAACTCCTGAACTCAATTAGTCTATGTTAAAAGTGAGCATGAATATTTATGTGGTCTTGGACCTAATATTAGGTCAGGAAGTTTGGGCTGCTCTTTTTGTACTTATTCTGTTTGTCTTTGGCCTGGTTCTCCACTGTAAAGGGTAATTATAGCACAATTTCACGGGATTACAGTGCAGTTCTGGCGGGAAGGCCCTGAGGAGGTCTCTAAGCCAACCTTCTGCTCCAAGTAAGGTCAGCTACAAGATCATATTAGGTGGCTCAGTAATTTAACCCAGCTGAATCTTGGAAACTTCCATAGATTGAGACTACCCAACATCTCTAAGTAACCTCTGCCACAGCTCAACTGTCCAGCATGACAAAGCTTCTTCTCATATATAGCCAAAGAACCATGTTACATTTCTTGACACCTTTTGTCTATAACTTTTCAAGTAGTTTTTTCAAGATGGGGTTTGCATCTCAATTTTAACTCTAGCACCTAGTTCATGGAGACTCTGAGTATTGCTTATTATTTATTATACTCTGAATAGTGCACATTAATAATAACAGAAAAAAATGCTGTCTTATGTGAAGTTAGGATAAGCAGCAGACATTTCTGTTTTTCAAACTGGTTTTAAATGAGTTTTAAATGAATCTATTTTCTTTTTAGCATTTCTTTTTATTTAGTGAATAAAAAAACCTCATAATGTATTCTGCCCAAAGATATTTCAGTTATTTATCTTTAAGTTTTAAGAAGGGTTTATACTGCAATCTTGTAATTTTATTATCTGAACATAACTTTTATAATACTCTGTCGTGTCTTCAAGTCCATTCTTTCCAGTTTAACAAAGATTAACAAAAAGAAAACTGTAGGTAAACGTCAAGAGCAGTTCCAGATAAAATTGAAGTAAAAATCAAACAGCAATAACTTTTTGGATGTGTCGGCAGCTGAAATACTCTAAGATTATCTATTTGTTTAAATTCAAGTGTCATGCACATTACAGCATGCAAAAGTGTAGACAAGCTTTTTTGAAGGGGTTTCTTAAGTTTTTCAAGCATCACAGTACATTTAGAACTAGTGAATAAATAGATGTTTGTGGTCTACATGTGAGTTAGTAGGCAGACAGCTGAACAAAGCCTGCTTTTTAAATTTTTTTTGCATTTCAAATAGACTAGTTTAATTAACTCTCATTACCTTCAATTACATAGAGAGGCATAAAGAAATGTTTTACTCCCACATACACATAAGTTTCCCTGTTTATGGCTTTCCAGCATGCACTCTTTATGTAGAAGCATAAAACAATATTCATGACAGACTGAAGTACTCATCAAGGAATTATGGTATCACAGACCCAATTAATCATTATGGACATTTTGCATTTTTCTGTCAAACTAGTAATCTATTTCAGCATCAAATGTTGCTGTTATTAAAGCAAGAATATAAAGAAAGTGTAACCATTTAAGTGAAAAAAACCCTACAAGACCAAAAAAACCCAAACCAACCAACCAACCACAACAACAACAACAGAAAACCCAATAGCCCAAAAATTCAAAAGCAACATCTAAGGGAAGACTTTTGTTCAGGTTGTACTGGAGGTGAAAAGTCAAACTGTAATAGGAAGTCTGAATAATGTGTTAGAATATAATAACATCAGTGCAAAAGCTGGTGTTATAGCTATTATCTGAAAAACAGCTATCTGGTCAAGACTGAATAAAAGAAAAAGGACTACAGAGATAGAACATGCTGATATGTGTGATTAAAATGACATACAGGCAATCTGTAAAAAAGAAAGATAAAAATGAAGGATGTCTTGATATGGGAAGTAGATGTGTTAGAACTACACAAAATAATGTGGTTATGGGAATAATCCTATTTATATCCAGAAAAGGAACTTTTCATTGAGAATAAAGAAATAGGACTTAAAAGTGCTTCTCTTCTGTATACACAATGTGCAATTCAACTGTAGAATTCTATTGTCATAAACTCTGTAATGGTTTTATGAGTAAACCAAAAGCATAGTCTATTATTATTGTTATCTTTAAAAAGAACATCATGTTTACAGCAATGTTTGCATTAACATAAGATGGAAGCTATTTAAAAGATAACTGAATATTCATGATTCAAGATCTCCGTTAACTATTATCCAACAGGAGAAAAAATTTCTATATAGTTATTAAGTACAAACTCACTAGCTTTCTGTGGCAGTGTATGGGAAGAGCCTCTGACAGCTGAGTTATTTAGCACTAAATACATGACTGGTCTAATATATCAATTAATATGCTCTGAGAAGGATAGGTCTTAATATAAGCAATATTTCCTGCATTATGTTGCAAACATAAATTTAAAACTGCATGTCTGTTTACTTTTTGATAATGATTTAGTTGTATTTAATGAAGAAGGAGAGAAGTTTCAGCAAGGAATTGAGGTTATATTCACATTTGTTTCATTCCAGTGGGGATCCTATCAGTCGTCTGTCAGAGAGGCAGAAAACTTTCAGCTTTCGTTACACTTCAGCTTTCTGCATCTCTTTATTTCAGGAATTTGTCATACAACTGAGAATTAAAACCAAAATTAATTCCCAATTTAATTCTAACATATCAGTTTTCTGCCTTGGTATTTCCTGATACTAATAGAATTGAGATATAGTAAAATTTGGTATGGGATAGGCCAATTTTACTAAAACTATTTTTATAATTATTTCTAACTCATGCTTAAAGAAATAAAGAGAAAAGAGGTAGATAATTATTTAAAGTGCTTCTCTATTGTGACAGTGAATTGTGATATGATTTTACTAATCTGATTTGTGGGCTTTAGAGAAACAATTTCAGTTTGCCTTTGGTGTAGTTTCAGCCCAAGGAAGATGTGCAGTGACTGCTAAGGAATGTGAGGAGTTCAAAGGCATGATCTTAAGGATGTAGAGGAGAAAACACAGTATCTTTATTCAGTGGAGCCGGTGGGAAGTTTCATCAGCTGACACAAGTCTCTGGTGCCTAGTGAAGTGAAAATACAGGTTGTCTTTCACAAGATTTTCCTGCTTCCTTGACTGGTGATTAAAGACTATATGGTGCAAATGATGGGAGAATACACCTCTTATGCACCCTTTCAGATCTTCTTGGTTGTTAGTCAGTTAATTAACCTTCTGGATGGAACATAGTACCTTCCAGCATGCCAACTGCTGAAGTCAGGCAAGATGAGTAAGATAATATATTATCTTGAAAAGTGAGCATGAGGGTTCAGGATAGCCATGAGTTGTAACCACTGATGACAAAGTAGAAAATAGCAGTTTATCTTTCATGACCTTAAAAAGTACATACACTTTAGCCATTTTCCAAATGAAATAAAAGTCAAAAAAAGAATTCAAGAGCTTCTAGCACTCAGGACATACTGTGGAGAATTAGAACTGAGTCATGATTTTAAGACAGGGAAATGGAATTTGCTAAAGAATGCTGTTCACATATGGACTATAAATGAACCAGCTGGCAAAGGCAACTTGGAGAAAGACCAAGAAGGAAGTATAAAAGCATCATTCATGCATTTCTCTCATGCAGATTATTATGCTAAATTCTTCTTAAAATTACCATGAATTGTGTATTGGGTATCTTCACTCCTGAGCTTTTCACTTTAGAGTGAATGAAGTGATAGCTCTATTTCTGTTGGTTCTCATTCCTTGTAATTCCAATAATGTGTGCAGCACAAAACGAGGAATAGACAGATACAATTAGTATTTAGTACAATACATGGTTGTTACTTTTAAATGAAAATTATGGGATTTAGCCCACTGCTAGATCAGTATTAGCTGGAGCACTACCTCCCCAGACCAATACAGAGTTGTTCAATGGGACATTGCTACAGATTTTTCTTCATTAATACTATATAGTGGGATTCATCTTGCTATCTTTTTCCTCTTCCAGACATTAAATTGTTGCCACTACCAGGCTAGCTTGTACACAATTTACAGGATGCTATGTGGGGAAGTGTTGGAGTCTTTAGAGGCACTAAACACCACACAGCTTTAGCTCTCCAAGACTCTACGGAGCTCATATCTGTGAGAATTTGCTCTACCTTTTGTGTGCCGTATATGTTTGCACAGGCCACCAAAAATTTTGTATATGCTAAACAAGTACTTCCTGATATAGAAGATGCTTCAAACTCTTAGGAGCATGGGCAACCTCAGTGAAGAATACCATATTACATCTTACAATTTTGTCTTCACTTCCTGTGAGAGACTAAGGTCTGTATACCCAGCTAAAGAAACGGACTCATTGGGCTTCTCATTTTTCTGAACTCCATTGTAATCTCATTTGATTTAGCATATTTTTTAAAATTATAAATTATTCTTTTAGCAATTTCAGCTCAATTATTTTAAGGACGCATAAGAGCACATACCCTTTCCTAACAGACTAATGATTAGATAAATACTTTGAGAAGTGAAATAAACTGTTCAGGAGTATTTAGCAGAAGGTGGAATTGAAGGATTTCCTCATGAGTGTACATGAGAAAAGGAGCATGCTGGGAACTCACCTGAGATTTCATACCACTGCATGATACAATAATAGCTAAAACTACATTAATACTATTATATGCCATAAAATTCTAGATCGTAGAATGTTATAGTTCATGATTGGTAGAATAGTCAGTGGCTCCAGTGACACATACAGGTACTGTAACCTGATCTCACATATAGATTTACTTTCAGTAATGGCTTCAGGTTGGTAAGACTTTAGAACCTGATAACGTCATCACACACAGTTTTTCTTTTTTTTTTTTTTTTATTGGTTCAATCAGCTATTTCTTCTCAACTCCTGTCCTTTTAGCCCTGCAAGGTGCATGTCTTTAAGAAGACAATGACACTGAATAGTGCTGTTACACAGTCCTGTAACTGAACATCAGGCTCAACTAAATTAGGTCCTGATTTGGATTATTATATATCAGCCTTTTTGATGCTCCTCTCCTCCCCAAAGGAAATAACTTGCAAGAACATTCAAACATCAGAGATATTTTATTCAATATACAAACTTCTATAAAATATGTGGCTCACAGTGTCATTTTGGGGTTTAGTTTGTCTGTTCCATGGGTTTGGCTGGTAGAGGAAAAGGTATGAAGTTATGTAGGTCATTAGTATGGGTTTAAATTTATAACATTCTTGTGTCTCAGGTTTTGTGTTCTATCATTAAACCGGGGCACTCAAGTGGGAACATGAACCCATGGGTCACTTGAAAATTAGTCTAAAGGCTTAAGAGAAGAATAGTGTGGAAAGTGACAAGGAGAGGATAATAATTAAAATATTCAGTCCTTTAAGAACTAGTTATCATCTGGAATGGCTAAAATATACTTACTTTCATTACTCCAGTTCTTTTTCATTATTTCTGACCAGTTTTAGATTGTATAAGGATTTTGGACACCTGAGGGGGAAGAGCAACTACCCGCGTAATCTCCAGACTTTCCTGTGCTTAGCATTAATTCATCAGTTGTTGGTTAATTGTGAATTGATTCACTGTCATTCTTATTGCTTTCACTATTTGATGATTTTATTTATTTTTTATGTTGTTAAATATGCTTGAACTAGTTTACTGTGACTACCTGAAATATTGTATTATAAATTGCTTGTACATGACAACAATCTTAACTCCTTAGATGCTAAGCCTTTTATTTATGTCTCTAAAATCTTCACTCAATCTACTAACTATAAGCTGGTTGACTTTTGAGATGAAAGGATAGCATAAGATCCTTCTGAGCCTTTCTTCAATATATAGATGAATTCAGGGTTAGCTTCTGTGTCAGGCCAAAACTGCCTCTAGGTTTTGCACTTAGTGATTGTATTAGCAGTTCTTTTTATTTTATTTTGTTTCCTTAATAGCTTTTTACTTGCAGCTGAACTAGCATTAGCAAAAATGTTCAGTAACATTTGGTCATCATCAATAAGGTGTGGGTTTGAACTATGTCTAAGAAGGCCAGTACTACCCAGGGAGGTACCTGCACAACTGGGGTTGGCCTATGTTACTCTTGCTAGCTGCATTCCTCTGTTGCTTAATGCTGATTCAGTTGCACCTCTTGGGTTTCATTTTCAACAGGTATACACAGTTGAAGAACATGGAATGGATATTCTTATGTGGTCTTCCAGTAGAAATGAAGAAAACAAATGGATGTATGCAAATGTGGTCCTCTCTAGTAACAGCCCTTTCAGAGTTGCCTTCGAAGCTGAAGTGGAGTGGAGTGAATCCACAGAATTTGCTCTTGATGATATTTCTTTCACCCCAGAATGCATTGAGGGAGGTATGCTATTACAAAAATATTTGCAATACATCTGTTCAGAAGGCAGGAGAAAATTGTGGCATTTCACATTTCAATGTATGCCAGTTAAAAAAATCTAGATTTTTTTTTTTTTATTATTATTGCAATACTGCCTTGCTTTTACTTCATTCCAAAAATAAATAGGTGCAGCACAATAATGCAAAGAAGCATAAGTTTTTCAAGGGAAAGAAACATGTGTAAAGGAAAGAAAGATTAAATTTATCATATATGATCCACTTGGAAAATTCTTAACTAGCACATTTTTCCCTAAAGGAAAGGAGCCATTATACCAAACAGAGGGACTCCTATCTATTAGTTGTCCAAGTGTAGTATCTGAATAAAGGTATTTGCCCATGGATTGTGGAAGACCGTTTTGTGTTATAACTGACTGTTGGACATATAACATATGTTGGATTAATTATAACAACTCAGAATATTGCTGTCATTAAAGGCCTATTAGTATTTTTATGAACCATGCTTGAGAGAAATCTACCATCACCCAATGGTATTGGTTTTCTGTTGTATGAAAACAGTCAGAGAAAGTCTTAGTTTGGGATGGAACAGTTTATGGGTACCAAAGTTGTTCACAATTATTTAAAAAAAGAAAATGGTTAGGGTTTTTTTTATCTTTGCTCTCTTCACAAAATATCTCAGCAGTATAGCAAAATTACCTCATTGCCAGGCTCTGTGAGAAATTACAATCTCACTTCTGCTATCAAAATAAGTGACTTGAACTGTGTAAAAAAACTCAAACCAAACAAAAAAAAAAAAAAAGAATTGAAGTATAATGCCTTATAATGCCATGTTTATTCTCTGAGAAAGGCAGTGGTTTACTATGCAAATTAAATATGTTACAGTATCAGAAGAAAAAAATAACTATACGTGCAAATACAGATTCCGATAGGAATATGGGCCATTCCTGATTTTTAAAAGTCAAGAAGGGAAGGAAACAAAAGAAACAGAAAACTTTTTATGTAGATTTTCATTCTTAAGGAACAACTAGGAATGATAATGATTAAATAAATGATAATACAGATGTTAGAAAGAAATGTTATTCAAGAACATTTTATATTTATCCAGCTTGTATTGTTCAGACAGGATAACCTATGTATGAATTAGGTGTCGCGCTGTTCAAGAAACTGATTGGTTTGTGGGTTTGGGTGTGGTGGGTTTTTGTGTTTGGTTTATTTTATTTTATTTTATTTTTTTTATTTATAGTTATGAGTAAGCAGCTCCTTGGAGAATTAATCACATGCTGATTAAGGCTTAAAATGAAATATATGTTTGCGCCAGTGGCATTAGCTCAGTCTCAAAATGAACAAAAGTTTGGGTTTTTTCTCTGAAAAAACCCAATAAGCCAGGCAAAACCACCAATAAGCTCAGGCAAATACTATGTGGAATGTTCTTCAGTGAGCTGCAGACCTTGTACATAAACAAGTGTTTGTTCTACCCTTATTATGTTAATCACCTTTGTTAACCATACCTTAAGAATTACTTAGGCAGTTTCATGCATAATAAGCCATAATAGAAAGGGAAATTTTCAAATTATATGTTTTAAGTACCTGTAATTAAATGGAAGACCTAGATCTGTATTTCAACAATATATATAAATGAATTTTCTACTTCTGATGGCATTTATACTTTGGTATTTTATTATGAACAAGCATGAATTCAGAGAAGGGGAAAAAAGCTTACATGGAAAGGGTATGTTAAGGTATCATGCAATAACCATAACTATATAAATAAGGTCATTTTTATGGAGAAATCTTTTTCTAATCACCTTATTTTTCTACAGAGATTTTCTACTCATAGAATACTTCCAAGTATCTAACCTGGAACACACTCTGTCCTTACAAATATGGCATGCCTTAAGAAAAATTTTTAGTTATATTTGTTAGTTATAGTTTGTTTGATAAGCTGAAATCTCATAACTTATTTACGTGCAACTACCTAAAAATAAATCAGTCTTATTTGGTCAGCTAGGCTCTTTGCCCAGCTGCAGGAAAGGCAGACATCTTCAGGAGTCAATTTATATTCCTTTGTATGGTAAACTAGCAATCAGCCTGGAATTAATTCTTACAAGCTGTAATACTTACATGCCAGAAATAGTAGTTTATCTTGCTCTATTCTATCATTATTGCCTTGTCTGAAAAAGAAACAGACTTTTTCTTGGACAGTTGACATGCTTAACTTAAATGCAGGATACTTGTCTTTGTATGGTCCAGACAATTTCTATGTATTTTTTATAGTGATTTCTAGAGGTATAGGAAGGATATGTACATAAATTCTTTATAAAACATTGTTCTTTATAAGTTTATTCTTTATGTTCTTGCAAGAGTGGCATAAATAATATTACTCTGAAAGCAGAGCAGGCAAGTCTTCCGGTTTGGCCAACAATGGATACTCAAGGAAATGTATTAGAATGAAAGAATAATGTAATAAATTTTCCTCCCCCAGTCTTTCCCAATCTGTGGTAAAATGCTTCCAAGAATTTCTGAAGCTCTGAAGGCCATGCTTTCTGATAGTTCTCAGCTGATTTTTCTTCTGTGAATTAGGCAGTTCTTTCTGAATATACACAAAATTTAATTATTTCATTATTATTGAAAAATAATTTATCCTTTAGTTGTTATTGGGAAAATATCAGTTGGAAAACCTTAGTTGCCAGAGACCTTTTTCATGCTTTGACACATTGTATGTGTCTCCCATGCTTGCTGAAGAGCATCTTCCATTCATTTAAATCCATTACTTGGAATTCAAATACAGAATATCGTATCTTCACTGTGTTTTTTTCTTTATACCTCCATTCCTAACATTTAGCTTGCAATAAATGTGCCATCCTAGATCCATCCTCTTCAATCCTGATGCTTCCACAGTTCCAAATTCTGCTAATCCAGCTCTTGTTCTTCACTTAATTGGGTATCTGGTACTAGGCATCCTATTTTTACATTCCCCACACTTTTTTTACCTCCACCAACCACTCCACAGTTTTATGTGAACCCTGACTGTTCTGCTAGTTTCTTCTGTCATCCATCCCCACTTCACCATTTTTATAGTCACTGTTCTTCCAAGTGTGTATTTCTCAACAAAAAAAAAAAAAGTCTAATGGAAGGCAATCTCCAAATGAGTTTGTGGCTTCATATATAAGCTCTCCAGATAAAAAAAGGATATCTAGATGCTGTTACTTAAGTGTGCACTGACCTTCTGATTTTTCATAGGTTTATACTCTCCTGGGAGAAGTCCTATCCTTACAATCCTTCCTGGTCATGTAGGCCGAATCTCTGCTTTTGAAGAGGGAAGAGAACTACAAAAGATCTGTATAACAAAATAATTCAGAGCAATTTAGGAGGAAGAACCTATCTCTGACTTATTAATATTGTTCCTGACGAAGAGTAGCTACTTAGGAGGAGATGTTATTTTTTACTAATAATTGTTTCTGAGTAACCACTTAAAAATTCAGATGGTAAAATCTGAAGGTATTACTTGCAAATAGTATAAAATCACTGCCCTGTAGATATTTGAGCAAGAATATTTTCCTTTAACAAAAATGGTGGGAAAGTTTACTTGCTTCGCTACCAGTCCTCCTTTGATTTTTCTCATCATGTTTATTCAAAGACCTAGCTCGAATAAAAGTGTATTACCTGAAGGACAGGTTTTGTATATTGTTCTCCCTTTCAGAAGATAGCTTTGCTCCTGCAGATCTTTTCTCTCTTTCTGTATTATGATTTTTCAGCTTGTCTTTAATTACTTTGGGTTTCCTGAGGCACCATGTTCTAAACAGAAGCAATCACAATTTAGCTGTTTGGGAGCTCTAAGCAATAAAGCATTACCAGCAACAATAATTCAGCTGAGGTTTTGGGGTTTTTTTAAGTAGTCAGCCCTCATTAGCCATGAGAGTTTCTACAGAGCCAAGAATATTTCTGAATGTTTAAACAAAGTATGGTCAAACTACTCCCTGGCCTACTGCAGAAGTAACTTCTGGCCGATACCCATGCATGGCAAGAGCTGCAGAGCCAGTTCTCAGTGGCACAGGATCTAGCTTAATTCAGATTCAACTGCTAAATGTGATCCTCTCTTACAACTTTTAAAGGTCCTTTATTATCAGCTGTTAAAGGTGTGTGAAGATCTTATATTATAGGAAATAGTGCATCTCAGGGACCAAAGAATTTTGTTGTTACTTATCCCTAACCATTTTCTTTAAACTTTTAATTAATACCTTGATTGTTTTTAAAATAATTTTTATTTTATATCTCATCAAAAAAATAGTTGAAAAACCTTCCTATTTCTAGTTGCAGATGAACCAAGAATACCAAAGTATTGAATTAAATATTGTATTCACTGATACCTGTCTCATAGTATTTTCTAGTTCAGCGAAAATAGGAGACATCACAGAAATTCTTAAAATTTCTGTTTCCCAAATTAACCCAAAGATGCCTAACACCCAGAATTTATTCTGCTTATATAAATCAGAATGTTATGTTTCATGATTTACTCATTACTGGAGAAATAAACCAGATGAACAAAGTCTGTGTCGTTCAAATGGTGAGGTATTACTTACATTGCACTTTTATGTATTGGGAGAGTATTCTCAAGAAACAAATACAGAGTAAATATATTTTGTGATCCCTTCCAGAGATCACCCAAGCAAAATATTTGTGTTTCTGGAGATCTTCTGCTGGAACAAGGTAAAACTCATTACAAATTCAGGACTGACTGCTAATCCAGCCATTTCACATAGTGCAGTTACTTGCCAGCCCCTCTTTAGCAACAGTTGTTTGTGAACTTACACTTCTAAATAGTACTGCTTTACATAATTGCTTTACATTTTGGTTTATTCAGAAAGGATAATGTTAACACTTGTAGATGAATATTTGGGCTGCATCTGGGTATAAACAGAAGTGCAAACATTATGCAGTGCCCTAGGCTCTAGAGTGTTTGAGAAACCAATATATGCTTTCTCACCATCAGTCATGCTTTCAGTGTTT